GCAGGGACATTTTTCCTCCGTGTGACACCAATGATGCTGGGCATAGGCGTGTGCACGGGGTGTGCCAGGTGTGCTTAGGCACACACTAATCACCCAAAGTTGCTAACATTCCTAGATGAGTTTCATATTATCGAGATGACTCCCGTCCCCCTACCATTCCCCCAGCAGTATCAGGTGCTCCTGCCTCTCATGGAGGACTGCAGAAACATCCCCAAGGGGGATCCTGCCTCCTCCTTGCTTTCTACTAGTACTGCAGTTAAGTTTGAGTGGGCAGGATGGCCTCTGAGATCGTGCCCGGCCCACCTTCTTCTCGTGGTGTGTCACATGTGAGCTGAGCAGAAGAGGTCAGAGTATGACCATTGATGCTGGGACATTAATTCCTTCACCACTGTTAGCCCCGTCTTTGTCCCTACCACAAACATTAGTATTATTTCAGCCCATGCCAAAAACATTAAATACATTTCTGAGTGCACGCCTCTATTAGCCCCATCCACTCTTCCAACAGGTAGGGAGCCACAGCTTTCCACCTTCGCCCTGAGCACTGGATGACCTTGTCCCAGTACTGCTATACATGATTACACAAAACCTTTTTTAGTGCTGATTTAACTTCCTTATTCCGTAGTGAATAAAACATTGGATTCAACATCGGTATAACTGTTGCATAATAGATGGCAAAAAGTTTATCTATATCATGAGAAGCATAGGATTGAGGTTTCATATAAGTAGCTATAGCTGAGCCATAGAACAAGGTAACAATAGATATATGAGAGCCACATGTGGAAAAGGCCTTTCTTTGTCCAGCAGAAAAATTAATTCTAAAAACGGCTCTTAGTATTTTAAAATATGTAACAATAATAAAACTAATGGGTACAATTAAAACAATGATACTATTAACAAAAATCACAAGTTCAACCATTTTAAAATTCCCGCATCCCAATGATAAGAGATTCCAGGTATTTCACACAAAAAGTGGTTAATTTCATTATTTCCACAAAGATCGGCACTAAACGCCAGGGCAACAGGAACACTAGATAGGAAAAATGAACAAATCCAAGTTCCAGCAGCTATCTTGATACACACAGTTCTGTTGATGATCGAAGTATAGTGTAAAGGATAACAAATTGCTATATAGCGGTCAAAGGCCATTATGGCTAAAAGAATACATTCTGTTTCCCCCAACGAAAGAGCTATGTACATTTGTGTACCACATTCTGCAAAGGAAATATTTCTTTTTGGCTGACAACATATCTCTCAGCATCCGCGGTATAAGTGTGGATGAATAGCAGATGTCCACGATAGATAGATAAGTGAGGAAAAAATACATGGGAGTGTGAAGAGCGCTGTCAGTGACCGTGGCCAAGATGATAAGAGAATTTGCACTCAAAATAATCATATACATGATCAAGAATATCACAAAAAGTATGATTTGTATATTGGGACTACTGGAGAGTCCAAGAAGGATAAATTCTTTGATAATTGTGTCATTTTTCACAGCCATTCTGCAAAAAAAAAAAAAAAAAGAAGAAGACGTTACAAAAATAATACTTATTACACTGAACAACAGAGATTTTGCTTCCTCAATACTTTTTGGTGCATCTTATAGATTTTTGGCTGCTACTCACCAAATTTAACTGTAATGTAACCTATCGCATACCATTTTAGAGAAATCTGTTTTTTGCGATTTGCAATACCTGTTGGCTATGCTGCACGTAGGCAGGTTGCCTACATTAGACATCAGCCAGACAGACTTCTGGCGCAGGATGGGGAAGGGTTCAATAGTTTTGTCTACATTAGGTATCAGCTAGGCAGACTTCTGGTGCAGGATGGGGAAGGGTTCAATAGTTTTGCTCTATTCTATCTGATACAGTTGCAAGAAAAAGTATGTGAACCCCTTGGGATTACGTGGAGTTTTGCATGAATTGGCCATAAAATGTGCTCTGAACGTCATCTAAGTCACAACAATAGAAGAACACAGTCTGCTGAACATAATACTACACAAACATTAGATGTTGCCATGGTTTAATTGCACATAACATGTAAACATTCACAGTGCAGGGAGGAAAAAGTATGTGAGGCCCTAGCTTAATGACTTCTCCCAGAGCTAATTGGAGCCAGGAGTGAGCCAACCTTGACTCCAATCAGTGTGATGATATTGGATGTGTTGCTGACAGCTGTCCTGCCCTTAAAAAACACACACCTGTTTTGGGTTTACTGGTTTCAAGAAGCACTGTCTGATGTGAACCATGCCTCGCAGAAAAGAGCTCTCAGAAGACCTACTATCAAGAATTGTTGACTTGCATGAAGCTGGAAAGGGTTACAAAAGTATCTCCTTGAGCCTTGATGTTCATGTGTCCACGGTAAGACAGACTGTCTACAAATGGAGAAAGTTTAGCACTGTTGCTACTCTCCCTAGGCGTGGTCGTCCTGTAAAAATGACTGCAAGAGCACAGCGCAGAATGCTGCATGAGGTAAAGAAGAATCCCAGAGTGTCAGCTAAAGACCTACAGAAATCTCTAGCACATGCTAACATTTTTGTTGACACATCTACAATAAGGAAAACATTAAACAAGAATGGAGTACATGGGAGGACACCACAGAGGAAGCCATTGCTGTCCAAAAAGAATATTGCAGCACGTTTGAAGTTTGCAAAAGAGCACCTGGATGTTCCACAGCACTACTGGCAAAATATACTGTGGACAGATGAAACCAAGATTGAGTTGTTTGGGAAGAACACACAACACTATGTGTGGAGAAAAAAAGGCACAGCACACCAACATCAAAACCTCATCCCCACTGTGAAACATGGCGGAGGGAGCATCATGGTTTGGGGCTGCTTTGCTGCCTCAGGGCCTGGACGGATTGTTGTCATTGATGGGAAAATGAATTCCAGAGTTTATCAAGACATTTTGCAGGAAAACGTACGACCATCTGTCCGCCAACTGAAGCTCCGCAGAGGATGGGTGATGCAACAGGACAATGACCCAAAGCATACAAGTCATTCAACAAAACAATGGCTGCAACAGCACAGAATACGCCTTCTGGAGCGGCCCAGTCAGAGTCCTGACCTCAACCCCATTGAAATGCTGTGGCATGACCTTAAGAGAGCGATTCACACCAGACATCCCAAGAATATTGCTACACTGAAACAGTTTTGTGAAGAGGAGTGCTCCAAAATGACTCCAGATCGTTGTGCAGGTCTGATCTGCAACTACAGGAAACGTTTGGTTGAGGTTATTGCTGCCAAAGGAGGGTCAACCAGTTATTAAGTCCAAAGGTTCACATACTTTTTCCTCCCTGCACTGCGAATGTTTACATGTTATGTGCAATTAAACCATGGCAACATCTAATGTTTGTGTAGTATTATGTTCAGCAGACTGTGTTCTTCTATTGTTGTGACTTAGATGACGTTCAGAGCACATTTTATGCCCAATTCATGCAAAACTCCACGTAATCCCAAGGGGTTCACATACTTTTTCTTGCAACTGTATATACAGTATATCCACTTCAGTACCGGACACTTTTACCCCCTTCCTGCCCAGGCCAATTTTCAGCTTTCACACTTTGAATGACAATTACTCAGTCATGCAACACTGTACCCAGATAAAACTTTTATCTTTTTTTCCACACAAATAGAATTTTCTTTTGGTGGTATTTAATCACCACTGGGTTTTTGTATTACTTGTTAAATAAACAACAAAGGACCAAATATTTTGGCAAAAAAAAGGTATTTTTTCTTCATTTCTGTATAATATTTTGCAAATAAATAATGTTTCTGCATCAATTTAGGCAAAAATGTATTCTGCTACTTTTCTTTGGTGAAAAAAACCCAAATCAGTGTATATATTATTTATTATATGTGAAAGTTATAGAGTCTACAAACTAGGATATATACCCTGCTCAAAAAAATTAAAGGAACGCTCTTTTACCACTTGCCAACCATGCTATAGCCAAGTGACGGTTACAGCACGGTTGTCCAGTTCTGGGAGGGCGTCATATGATGTCCTCATAGAATGCGCCCTCCCGCGCGACCCCGGGGCGCGCACCCCAGCGATCTCCGTGATCGCTGTGTCCTATGGACACAGATGATCACGTGATGAGGTAAAAGGTCAATCACAGCAGCCTTTTACCACAGATCAGCTGTGTCCAATGACACAGCGGATCACCGGTAAATGCAGTTGGCGGTTATCGGCTGCACTTACCTCACCATGTCACAGCGTGAGGGAAAGTACTGCCGATAACCGGCAATTGTCAGAGGACGGATTGGCACCATCAATGCCCAGCAGTGTCACCCACCAGTGCATCCCACCTGTGCCCAGCAGTGCCACCCACCTGTGCCCATCAGTGCCTAGTAGTGCCACCCATCTGTGCCCAGCAGTGCCACTCACCAGTACCCGGCAGTGCCACCCATCAGTGCCACCCATCAGTGCTGCCCAGCAGTGCCACCCATCACTGCACAGCAGTTCCGCCAGTCAGTGCCATCAGTCAGTGCCACCCATCAGTGCCCAGCAGTGCTGCCTATCAGTGCCATGCTCATAATTTCTGACTGTTTTTCATTAGTTTTGCTTTTGTCACTACTGGTAGCATCAGGCGATACCTGGACCCTACAGAGGTTGCACAGGCAGTCCAACTCCTCCATGATACCTGAAGGTTTTCTGTGTCTCCCAGCATAGTCTCAAGAGCATGGAGAGATTCCAGGACAGGCAATTACTCTAGGAAAGCTGGACAGGGCCGTAGAAGGCCCTTAACCCATCAGCAGGACCGTTAGATGCTCCTTTGTGCAAGGAGGAACAAGATGAGCACTGCCAGAGCCCTACAAAATGACCTCCAGCAGGCCACTGGTGTTAATGCCTCTGAACAAACAATCAGAAACAGACTTCATGAGGGCAGCCTGAGGGCCTGATGTCCTCTAGTGAGCCCTGTGCTCACTGCCTGGCACCATAGAGCTCAATTGGTATTTACCATTGAACACCAGAATTGGCAGGTCCGCCACTGACGCTCTGTGCTTTTCACAGATGAGAGCAGGTTCACCCTGAGCACATGTGACAGACGTGAAAGAGTCTGGAGAAGCCGTGGAGAACGTTATGCTGCTTGTAACATCGTTCAGCATGACTGCTTCTGTGGTGGGTCAGTGATGGTCTGGGGAGGCTTATCCATGGAGGGACGCACAGACCTCTACAGGCTAGACAATGGCACCCTGACTGCCATTAGGTATTGGGATAAAATCCTTGGACCCATTGTCAGACCCTATGCTGCTGCAGTGGGTCCTCGGTTCCTCCTGGTGCCCAACAATGCCCAGCCTCATGTGACCAGAGCAGGTGCAGACTGACAACTCATGGGACACACCCGGGCAATAAGAGATAATGAGGGCCATCTGTGTCTCTGCCCAATTCACACCCACACAAAGCCCCACCTCCATATTGCCAAGACAAGGAGGCTATTTATGTAGTAAGGTTCAGTGACAGGACACATAGCAGTTTCTTTATGTAGAAATATTTGTTGATAAGTTCTGTCACCTTAGAGGAGCCTTCATCCCTCATATCAGCTCAGAGGAGCCTCCATCTCCTCACAGACAGTCTTTGTTCCTCATATCTCCTTATAGACAGCCTCTGTCACTTCAAGCACAGCCTCCATCCATAATTTCACCTCAGAGGGAGCCTCGATCTCCTCATCCTCCTTTCCCCTGACAGAACTTTTCCCTGCAATGTTTGAGGAGAGTTTCCACTCTCCCATCAACCTGGAGTGTATGAGCTGCTGCCTGGACTTCGCTAGTCAGGAACAGCTAGCAAGCCTGACCTCCATCGCCAGCCATTTCTGATCCCTGAGGGACAAGCTGGTGGTGCTGTAGGACCCGGACTGGCTGAATCAGATGATTATTATTATTATTTATACAGGATTTATGTAGCGCCAACGGTTTGCTCAGTGCTTTACATTATAGGATGATGAGGCAGGACTACCTGGACAACTATCTCCTCAGCAAAGCGAAATAAAAACGAGAAGCGCACAAACCTTGCGCATTACCTCAGTAAACAGAAATTTATTAAAAAGAAAGGTACTCACAAACAGCGAATAAAATCAGGCATGTAAGTCCTCACAGGGACTTCAGAGATAGAGGGCCAGCGCGAGTCCCATCGTGGGGGTAAGCACTCAGTTCAGCTGACGCGTTTCGAAGGCCAGACCTTCTTCATCAGAGCTGCTGATGAAACGCGTCAGCTGAACTGAGTGCTTACCCCCACGATGGGACTCGCGCTGGCCCTCTATCTCTGAAGTCCCTGTGAGGACTTAGCTTATAACAGTGATAATCAATAGAACAATAACAGAAAATAATAGACTAGAATAAAAAAAATAAACTAGAGTAGAATAGAAAGAATACAGCTGTCTTACAAAATTTGAACTTCAAATAGAATAGAAATATTTATTCTTCACAATGAATTTGGATCGATACGATGCAATATTTTTTATTCAAATTTGATTCAAAGTATTTGAATCAAATTTGAAAAAAAAAAATTAGAATCCGGTTAAAAATGAATAAACGAGATGAAAATAAACGTTCTGCACACATCTAATGGTAATGTCTCCATATTTTTACTATTACTTTCTGTCTAAAGGACAATGATCATCAGGACAAATAGATGGCGATTCTCCCCAACGGGACCCAAAGGGTAATAAAAACATTACTCTGTTCAGAAAAAAAATTAACTTTACATACACTTTGGGGTCTATTTCTAAAATATTTTCTGTGCCTATGAACAGTCACTGCAATGTGTCTAATATGTTTATTTCCTGATTTAATATGTATATTTTCCTGATTGAGGTATTTCAGAAAAATATTGCATTTTGATCACTAGATGGAGCTGAAGGTCATAGGAAATAAACAGGTTAGGCAATTTTTCACAGCATTTTTTTTTTTTTAATTGACCCCTTAAAGTAAAGACGGCAATTCACTTCATCTTAGACTTTAGTCTAGTTTGTTCATACTGTATATGCACAAACTTCTGCTAAGTGGTGTCCCTGGCTGCATTTGCCACAGGTCTCCTGCTGGGTGCTTTGTGTCCGGTGCGTTCTTGAAATGACATCATATGATGTCCACCCAGAACGAGAGAACTCCCGTTCCACCCACCCTGATCAGGATGCTGTCATACTGTGAAGCTATGGGGGGGCTGCTGTGCCCTGCAGTCCAGCCAGAGATACTGGATCATGGAGAAAGCCACTTTATGGACAATGCCAGTGATGGACTAACTCCTTACTGAGGTATGACTGGGCCAACTAGTTAGAGAGTTAGGGAATGTTCTTGTTACTGCCCCTGATGGACTATGCTGCATTCATTAAGTAAAAGTTGTATCTTCTGTTCACTGGACACCTTAGCTGCCATTGTGCTACATGCTGGTGTCCAGTGCGCTCCTGTACCTTTAAGGAGGGGTGGGCTCCCTCAGGTCCATCTGCCCTTGGTCTATCCATTAAATACATGTGCCTCTACTATGGGGGCTCTTAAAATGGAGAGTTAGGAACGGAACTACAGAATACTGGGGTGCCGTGACGAGGCTCTGTAGCTTACGCATGTATTTGCAAAAGTGTGCTAACTAAACCCCTGTTTTTAACGCATACTGCTAGACGGGTTAATTCGGTTTGTTTGCAGGCTGGTTGGTAAGTGTGAGCCGGGAATTTTTCTTTTTTGTTGTTTGTCATGTGTCGCCCGTCCATGTGCTCCTTGCTGTGAAGGCCAGTTATAGACTGGGGCAGTGGTCTGAAGTTACTTTAACCTCCCTAGCGGTCTGATTATGTCAGTATTTCTGTGCTCAACTCGGTACATTGTTTTCAATGGAAATATGTTGTTGTTTTAACCTCCCTAGCGGTATTCCCGAGTGTAGCTCGGGGTAAAGTTTCTGTACCAAAAGCGGTAACCCTGAGCTACACTCGGGCTTACCATGCGCGCTGCATAGGGAGTCCCTGCAGGGCTTACCTTGTCCTTCGCTCCCGCGATGTGTCCCCTGCAGCGTCCCCGGCCATCTCCTCCGGCTGATGCCGGCACCCGGCTCCTGTGTTCCGGTCAATGTGACGTCGGGACGTACGGCGCCGTCGGCGGCGGGAAATTTGAAAATTTAAAAAAAAATTCATTTTTTTCAAAACGATTTTACATAGTAAAACATTGCTGTTTCAACCCATTTCACATACATATTGTCACTAGTGCTCTGTCCTGTCCCCTGTCAGCATTTTGACTGTTCTTTCTGCCTGGAAACTTAGAAAAGTCCATGGCGTCCAAAAAGTGTCCCTTTAGGTCAAAAGTGGTTTTAGACCAGCTAGAGAACAGCGATAGTAAATCAGAACCACTTGCAGAATTGAGTGATAATGATTTGTGGGGAAATTCGTCATCAGACACTGAAAACAATTTTGAGACTTTGCTCAGCGATGTGCGAACTTGGCGCTATATTTCAAATTTCAGTGTTTTTGGTTTGATTATATTATTGAATTAAATGTATTATTATTATATTATTATTTTTTATGATTATTTATTAAATTATAATTTATGATTTTGTGTTTCAAATTTTATCATACCCGGGATGTTTACTAGACTCTTGTTCGGACAGATTTCAGTGAGTTATTCCTAAATATTACAGCCTACAATAAAAAAAACTACATATTTCCATGCAAAATAATGGTACCGCTTTCAGCACCAAAAATCTGAAATAATCAGACCGCCAGGGAGGTTAAATGTAGGCCTGTAATTCTTAGGAAAAACTCACTGAAATATATCCGAACAAGAATCCAGTAAACATCCCGGGAATGATAAAGTTTGAAACACGAAATCATAAATTATAGTATAAAAAAAATAATCATAAAAAATAATAATAATATAATAATATATTTTATTCAATAATGTAATCAAACCAAAAAACACTGAAATTTGAAATATAGCGCCAAGTTCACCAGAGCTCAGTCGCAGAATCATTTTCAGTGTCTGATGACGAATTTCCCCATGAATCATTATCACTCAATTCTGCAAGTGGTTCTGATTTACTATCGCTGTTCTCTAGCCGGTCTAAAACCGCTTTTGACCTAAAGGGACGCTTTTTGGATGCCATGGACGTTTCTCAGTTTCCAGGCAGAAAGAACAGTAAAAATGCAGGCAGGGCACAGGACAGAGCACTAGGGACAAAATGTATGTGAAATGGTTTGATACAGTAATGTTATACTATCAGATTTTAGTGTATTATGTGTATGTAAAATTTTGACATTTTTTAATTTCCTGCTGGTTCCGCCCCCCATACGTCCTGACGCTCGCGGGGAACGGAACCCGGGAAGACGGATGCTGGCATCGGCCAGAGGACATGGCCGGGGTAAGTGATCCAGGGATCCCAGAGCAACATTGCAGTATAATCCCAAGTGTAGCTCGGGGTTACCACTTCTGGTACTGAAACTTAACCCTGAGCTACACTCGGGACTACCGCCAGGAGGGTTAAGGGGGGTGACGGACATGGTGAAAATTTTCACCAAGTGTTGGAATACAATGTTCTTTACAGAAGCTACATTTGTGTCAGTATTCAGTAGAGATATATTCTTCCACCAGTAGATGGCAGTGTTTATAAGATTGTTGCTGCATCTATGGTTAAACTCTATGTCTTTTCTCTGTAATAGAGTTCCCACTTCCTGTTAGCCAAGAAGCAGCAGATAAACACATGTGGACTGTCCTGTAGGGTTACATACAAAACAAGTGCAAGATACAACAACAGAAAGAAGACTGCAACAGAATAAAAGAAAATGGACAGTAACACAGCTGCAACAAAGTTTTCATTTGCAAACCAAAACTACAAGTCTTGTAAATTCAAGATTAAAATGCTTCTAGTAAGAGAAGGTATGTAGAAATGTAGAAATGAAGTCAGGCCAGAACACCCTTCAGATGAGTGGATAGAGAAAGATCAGAAAGCTCAGAGCGCAATATCTCTACAATCATACATATATTTAAATGTCAAACTGCTAAAGATATGTGAGATTACAAAATGTGCATAAAAGAGCTAATCTCAGTGATAAACTGTATTTGATTAAAAAGCTATACCAAACCAAGCTGATAAAAGGCCAGG